AGCACAACTGGTCGCGACTTGCCTTGTCCCCGCCAAAAAAGAGCCCAGATTTGCTTAGCATGTAAAGCTACTGCAGTTGAAATGAGGGAGAGAAAAAAAGCACTTACCGCTCTGACGTAATCCATCCTCGCCAGATAACATAAAAGAATGAGGGGGACTGGCATCGCATTTTTATCCAATAACGATGCAATGCATTATGGGACATGGACGCAATGCATTATGGGACATGGACGCAATGAATTATGGGATCACAGGAAGACGCAAGGGATTATGGGTACATGAACAACTATAAAAACAACTACTTTTTTCCAAGTCGGGAGTTCTTCGAGGGACGTTCACGGTTGACGGCTAGAACGGGCAGTTAGTGTAATTTGGAGACAGAACTCAGGAAGGAACGACTCAAGTTTGAAATACCAGTTGGGAGAGCTTGAATTTACTCGCTGGTTACTGTTTTCTTCATTCGCCTGAAATGAAGACTGATTAATAAGTGAATTGGAAAATAATCATTTTGATTTCTACAGTACTTAAACATTAAGCACAAAGCTTTATGATGGCAAGAGATTTTGTACCATTTTTTGGCAATGAATATAATAAAGTACAAACTGTAAATTATTGTATCAACCTATATAATAGAAGTAGGTGCGTCCATTTCTATTATCTCGACCTAACCCATTTTGTAAACTCATATTATCAACCAAACTCCTTTTTGCAAATGTTTTTCAATGAATGGACATCAGAATACTTTTTTTTTTTTTTTTTTTTTTTTTTTTTTTTTTAAGTTGGTCAGCTGAATAACTTTTCAATGCCCCTTTTTATATTGTTTAAATTACATTTTCTAAACTCCTTGATTTTTATCTAGCTATCTTTTACCTCCCGAGTTCTCAAAAAAAAAAATCCCCAAAAAAACAGTATGCATTTAAAATCTGACTTCCTCTTACACACACGCACACACACACAATTTATTTGTTTAATTGTTATTTATACACACAATAATGGTTGAGCACTCATATCCAAGGATGCCTATCTACTAGACACCTGCTCAACACCCACGGAGCCCACCTTAGTTACAGTTTCTGGGAGATAGTGCATTCACCTTCCTGACTCGTCGACCATGGTGAGATTTGGTCAGAAAGCGAACATTTTTAACTACTCAGCCACATGACCATTTTTTTTGTGTGTGTGTGTGATTACTGGAAGTAAAAGTTTGTCACTTAGCTGATTGATGTTACCTTCAGCATCCTGACTCCAGAACTTCATAGGTCGACATGTACATCCACTCTTCAAGGAGTATCGGCAAATTACTGCTCTTTTTTTTTTTTTTTTTTTTTTTTTTTTTATGCACATTTAACACTAAGTTTTCTTCTATGTTACACACACACACTGATTCTTTCTTTAAAATTTTTAAGATCTGTTGTTCTACTGTGGACATTTATTTTAATTTTTACCTTGTCCTCATTTTCTGGAATGAAACCTATAAACTTTTTCTGTGTATGAAATTTAAATTAGAATACTTTTTCTTTTTTCAAGTTAAAGCCAGTAATGATTCTAGGCAAATGATACAAGCTCAGCTCAATTGAATTCATATAAACTGATGCCAAAAAGAAAAATTTAATCTTCTGTTCTGTTCTCAGTTTTAACCAAAAGTGGGGTTAGGAAATGAAGTGTCAGTGGTATCAGATGTTTTCGTATTAGCAGAGGTAGATCCTCTACCAGGTCTGGAAGTGTGTTTGTAATAAAGTTCCTGCAGATGTCTCTTGTAAGATGTGCTGGGAGAACAGATGGACAGTAACCTAGAATTCCAGACCCCACACATTAATCATAAACTGATGCTGGTATCTAGCCTATATTGTAGCATGGGGATTCTGATCTGCCCACAAATGTTAATTTTTTTTTTTTTATTCCATCTCTTCCAAATGTTGCTTTATCCATAAATGAGACTGAAGAGACAAAAAATGGATCAGCAGTTTGTGCGATAAACCATCAGTAAATGTTCTCTTGTGGTGAGTGATCAGAGGGCAAAAGACCCTGTGCAATGATACAATTACAGGAGCTGCTTTCGAAATACCCTCTATGTGGTACCTTGAGATGTACAATGTGCTAGGGCACACTTGCTGTGTGTTGATACCTTGGTTGTCACCAACAGCCTGTAAAATGTGTTCTTCATGGTCAGGCATAGGAGTGTATCTTGGTTTTTCTTGATCCATAGTTTGTGGTACCATGGATCTTGTCTCCGCAACGTGAAAATAAACAGCAGCAAAGCCTGATAACTCGGTTGCCTTCAGTCTCGAAACACAATCTGATACAACCATGCAGCTTTGCATCCATTACCGTTTGTGTGGCCATATGTAAAAATCATATCTGTCTGCTTGTAATATGAATATCCTGCCATTGTTAAATGTAACTTCTCAATTAACTCATTACTACACGTTAAATGCTGAACACAGACTAATGAGAAATGTACACGAATGACAAATGTAACCTAGTCTACATGGCAACACTGTGCCATCTACCATAAACTTTCTTTAAAATTAATAACTAAAAAAACAAAGTTGTGGGCATATGTTTATATGGACTTTTGTCTTTCTTTTGGTATGAGGAAGCTGCCCTCAAAGTTTGTAAAATTATTTTTGATACATCCTGTGTGTACATAAATAACTAGTGAATGCTAATAATCATGGCGTACATAGTTTTAAATAAAAAGATAACTGTTTTTAGTTTGTCTTTGGTGCTTGTCAAACCATTTGGGCCATTGTAGTGAGCTCATCTTTAAGTATTTTGTAAACAAGAAAAACTGCTTCAATTTGTCCAACCTCTTTGATGCCAAGTGATCACTGCCTGGTTGTAAGGCTGGCCAATTTTCATAAACACAATCCTGCTCTACTGTACATGACTCAATCGGTTAGTTTTTGTTTTTTCCCCTTCACTGTTGGCTTCAAAACAAACTTGAAGTGACCTGAGTGTCTAAATTAGTGACTGACACTTCCACCAAGTGAATAAATCAGCCGAAGAAGAAGAAAATACAAATAGAAATTTTAAGTGCAAATAATTAAAGTGACTTCTGTAAACATGCATATACACATTGGGAATTTGAACTTAAAAAAAAACAAAACATCCAGCTACTTTTACAAAATACTCTGTTGGTTTCATGACTTAGGAAATCAATGGGATCCTGTACAAGCTCCCCTTATGGCATACTTGCTGGAATCTATCTCTTCTCCAGATCATGTGAGAAAAATAGTATTTGGTTTGTAATCAGGAGTTCCATAACCCATTAGAGTCTCAGGGACACCACATGTACTGCAGACACAGCAGAAGTAGCATGTCTCAGCCTGACAAAGCCCAACCCTCTCCAGGCTGGTTTCAATTCAGTTTTCTTTCTCCTAGACAGCTTGCCAGTCAAGGCTACAGAATCCATTCTGCCTTTCTATTTACTCTTAGCTGGGGAAAGAAGAGATGGGTTCATATCTTTCCCCAAGGGTATTTGCATGTAAGTGAATGTAACTAATTTGTCTAGAATTCAAACTCTGCTTTCAGATTTCTCATCCAGAGTTATCAATTATGCCACTGCACATCCAGTATTTGGGTGTAATAAAGAAGACTTCTTGATCTAACTGCATTCTTGTCATCCTTTGTGACCTGTTAGTAATGAAACCATTTTTACAATAACCCTCTCTGATCTATCTCATTGACAAATGACTTTTAAAAATGTCTCGTTACTGACATGTCACAAAGTATTAATTCAGAGTTGATACTTACAGCTGCAGAATTTGAACTTTGAACATACAACAGAACTATTGTTACTGCCATTCAAGACTAATGTAGGCAAATATTTGTAGTTTAAATGATCCCTTGTATATCAATTGCTTTTTAAACATTTTTGAAAATTTGGGAATTAGAGGAATATTGTCTGTACACTTAAATGCATATTTTTATGGTGCCAAGCCAACTCATATGGTGAAGAGAGAATTTAACAGCAATGCCCTGAAAAATAAGCATGCAAGTCATTGCTCTATGGTTAGAGCGCCTCCAATGAAGAAGATAATTTTTATAACTTGTAAGAATAATTTTTATACATTTGTACATTGGTCTGGACTGTATGCCTAAATATTCAGTTATTATTAGCAGTATTATGTTTAATTAATTTCCGATGGTAATTCAGTCATTATCAGGATTGAGAAAAGTTTCTGTTGTTGAAAAATATATATAATATCAAAAGGTTCAAACACTAATATTCCATGGTTATAATTTATTATATTGGAATTGTAATCAGGATCCAATTCATCAGACCTACAAATTCAAAACTTTTGAATTTGTAGGTCTGATGAATTGGATCGTGATTCTGCATTCCAATTCCAATGTAATAAATTATAACCATGGAATATTAGTGTTTGAGCCTTTTATATTCTTACTGTCCTGGACATTGAATTCTACCTGGATTCTATCCTCTTAGGAATTATATATATATATATATATATATATATATATATATATATATATTAATAAATTCACCACAAGCAAGGTGATAATCCCAATAGGAAGCTACTGGGAGTAAAAGAGAATGAGAAGACTTTAGAAGGAACTGAAAACCAAATTCTAAGCAGGAAGCAAGGGATAAACTTCTATTCCTGTTCAAAAGAAGAAAAAAAAAATGCCTGGGAGGAGTGTGAATCAGACGTATATGAATTCAGAATGAATGTTGGTATGACATTGATAATCTTGGTGACTTGCTGTCCGTGTCATTTTGTTTTGTATTGTCAGATTTTTATTGAAGAAATTCTTATTCGTATATTTTTTCCTCTCTTTTCTCTGTTCATTATTCCTGCCTATTCTCCTTCATCACCTCTAATAGCGTTTACTCGAAAAGGAATGATTCATTATGACAGGTGTTAATTTTTTTTTCTGAGTAAAATTCAATGCAAATTCTTTATTTACTTGGATATGTTTGTCTTTGTGTCTGAAGTTGTTTTTCTGATAATTTTTTTTTTTTTTTTTCTTTTCAGCTAAAAGATTTTGTGAGCCAAAACATGAAAGACGTCCGTGGAGAATATGGTAAGTGACTTCTAATGTCACCAAAAATATTGCTAAATTTTGACACCTGTTAATGATGCATAACCACATCATCATAGTAACAAAATATTGAAATAACTAACATGCAAATGCAATTAACCCAGTAAAAGAAAAAAAATTCACACACTTCCTTGTGTTTTTTTTTCTCTCCACTTAGCTTTTTTTTTTTTTTTTTTAAATATATATTAGTTAATTAGAACTAATTTATACATTGTATAAAAAAACAAAAACAAAAAACTATGAACACTGTGTAGCTGTAATTTCTCAGCTTTTTGGAGTCAACAGATCTGACTTTTCAGTATGTCATAGAATTCAGTATTGCCAGAAATTTATAACATTTGCCTTGTAAAAATGAATTCCTATTCTTGATTCTTGAATGTCTGTTATGAAAACATTTTCACTTGTTAGAAGAAAAAACTGACAATTCATAAAGAAAATGCTTTATAAACATTTGATAAATTTAAGTTTAATCAATAAAATATTTCAGAAAATAGTTTTGATAAAGAGATAAAAAAAATGCTTAAAATTTTCAGATCAAGAAAAATGGGTTTTTTACAAAAGAATTTGAATCTATTTTTAGTTTTCTAAGTTCAAGGCTATCATTTTGGTGATAAAATGTGAGGAAATGAATCACTTGTTTGTAAATGTTGACATTAAACCTTAAATCTTAATGTCAACATTAAGATTTAAGACACTGTTGCCAGCAACATCAGAATTTCCTTGGTATCGAAGATAAGTTATGTCAAGTTCAGCTTTTAAATGGGCAAAATAAATACTTTTGGGCGAATCTGAATAAATTCACTGAAATAGACATCTGGGTGGGGGGGAGTTCCTGAAAAGTTTTTGGTCTGATTCACTTTTCAAACACAATAATTTTTTTTTTATATACAAAATATTTTTAAACATAATCGCCTTCCTTGTTAATGTACTTGATTCAGCAGTGAATATTAGTCATATAGATCAAATGTTATACAGTGAAATTTTTTATATGAAAACTCATCTGCTAACTGTATCATGCTATGGATTTATTGCTCCAAAAACATGATGCTTCCCCCCCACCAACTCTTTTAGTATATAAGTATGAGCAGAATTTCTTGCATGTGACACCCTCCCCGCTCCCAACCTTCACCACTTTATGTATAGTTTATGATGTAATATCTTAAGATTATTTTAGAACCTTCTGTGGTCTCTCTCTTATTTTTTTGGGGGTGGGGGTCAGGAAACCTTGTCTAACATGCCTTACCCACCTACAAATCAACCAGAAATAGAAACCAACATTAGACTTATTGCTAACTAGCAGTAGAGCCCGGCGTTGCCCGGGGATGTAACAGTAAGAGATAGATCAAGTATCGACCATCATAAAGACTGAAAAATAAAATTGACAAAGATTATTGTTTAAGGTTGACGGACACGCATGTCTTAATTAGTTTTTTTTTTTTTTTTTTTTTTTACGAATTGGTCAAACCCAAATTCAAACAAAAACATTGTTTACAATCGTTATGAGTCTATCGATTGGTGAATAGAATTTTATTATAAACAATTGTCTTGTAAATGGAATTTTTAAAGCATTCTGAATGTATAAATAAAGAAAAAAGTGTGCAAGACAATAAGAAATACTACCTGCCGAAAAAAAAAAGTGGATGTTTGTTTTATCGGCTGAAAAATGTAAGAAATCTGATCCCATATATAAAGGAAACACACACACACACACACACACACAACCTGGGTTTTTAACCTAAGTCACTCCCACGGAATCGCTAAAACATAGAGCATAGTCTGATGAAAAAGACGCTAAAGTTTATGAAAACAAAAATTTTATCATCAAAATGCTTATTTTTTTATGAAAAGGATAGACTAAATTTTTTTTAATTATTTTAAAAAATTTTCCATCTTTTAGAATATTCTAAATTTTGATTTAAAAAACCTTGTTTCTCTTTGTCGCAACAAGGGTAGTAAATAACAGATAATTTTTAGCGCATTTTTTTTTTTGTATTTACACACATTAATTTGGAAAATCTTGCAAAAATAAAAATAATTGTCAGATGTTAATGAAACTTTCAGAAACTATTCACAGATGATCGAAATTATTATAAATATTTTTTTTATTAAAAGTCATGGCAGAAATATTTTTTTATATTTATTAACACCCCATAACTAATTTTATGAAAAACTCTAGAAATTGAGACCATCGGTTTTAGTGATTACAATAGTTAAAAAAAGCACAAGGCTTTGAAGAATGCAAATCATTTTTTTTTTTTTTTTTTTTGGCCAACGTACCTGAAAATCAGCTGTGAATTGTAACATATAAAAAACTCGATAAAACAAATATATTATTTAGTTTCAAATGCTTTTATTTGTTTTAATTTGTTTTATGAATATGGACAATATTTTCTGAAAGCAAAAAAATTTTTTTCAATGAAAATTGAATTTTTAATACAATTATTTCTTATTTTTTTAATTTTAAAAAAGATTTTTAAAAAATGTTTAAATTGAATTTTAAAAAATATTTTAACATTAGTTAAAAAAAGCAACATCAACATTTCAAAAATGTCCGTGTGAGATTGTCATTGTTCAGCGTTTTTTGAAAATTGTATAATTTGGACCAATCAGATTAGCCATGGTAATTAAGAAATGTAATTTTTGTGTTTATAGTCGGACAGTAATTATCAAGCACGGAAGACCAACCAGAATACAATTTAGTTGCATTATTTGAGTTCAGCATTGTTCTCCGCTGTTAAGTCCTTTACTTTTATGAAACACGTATGGAGAAGTTAATTTGAGTTTTCAATTTCAACTGAGAAGGGTACCTACAAGTAACAGTATCATCTTATGAAATTTAACTACTGCTAAACTTTAATTTATATGATCTTATTTTTATATTAATCTCAGTTATGACATTTTTCCATAAATGAAATATCAAAATTAATAATAAAATGAATGGAAATACAAATAACACAGTAAAATGTAATAAATGTACATAAAATTATAGTATTTTATATACACTTCTGATAAAAGAAAGGTACCTAAATTAATTAGGTACCTTTTTCTTATGAAATTTAATCTCACTATTAAGTCTTATTTTTTAATTTCTTTATATTTTCCATAAAGCATCGTAAACGTAAAAATGAAAGCTAAGTACAAAAAAAAATAAAAAATTAGAGCGCTGAAAGTTTTCCTTAAAAGTAACAAGGTAAATAATTTGTTCACTTAAATAATTTCACTTCCTTCCATCCGTAGAAAGAATTCTCCTCCTGTTAAGTTATCTAAACGTCATGAATGTGCCTTTTGTCAAGTGACGCGAAAGGTTATGACCTGCTTTGTTTTATTTTCAAATTACATTTTTTCGGTGCAGAAGCTAAGTTAAGCTTGGTTCAAAATTTTTTAAATAAACAGTATAATATCTGTTTTTATTAAAATCAGTTTTGAAAAAATGATAATTGACTTTTAAAAGAATATCAAAGTAAGATTTTAATCTTTTTTTATCAAATCGAAAAAATGATTGAAAATGATTATCTTTTTTTTTTTTTTTTTTTTTTTTTTGACCAAAAAAAAAAAATATTTTTAACAAATTTCAGACGTGCTAGAAACGATTAAAAATGTAAAAAATGACCCCAAAATACTTTGATCTTTCCTCTTTAATAATAATATGAACATTAGACGATAAAATTTTGTTTTCGTCAAGTTCAGCGCCTTTTTTTCATCATGCTATGCTCTTTTGTTTACATTTTCGTGGGTGAGTTCTCCCCCTTTCATTCTCACGATGTGTCTTAATCGTGTTTTCAAATTGATTTTATTAAAAAAACAACTGTATTTTTCCCATTTTCGGCCCCGTTAGAACCACCACAAGGTAATTTTATGTAGTCCTGTGAAGTTTTGTTGAAATCGGCTAAAAAATGTAGGAAATTCGATCCAACATATAAACGTTACAGACACACACACACACAACCTGCGTTTTATAATAAGTAAGATTTCAAATGATTTTGTTTTTCCATCTGAATATACTTCAACTGACGAGCATCCAGGCATAATTTATCTAGTCAGTTTGCCCATTGTCTTTTAAAGAAACTGTTCTCAATGTAAAACTCAGAGTTTCTTTGAAACGACTGTTATGCCATATTTATATAAACAAAAATGATAAAAAAAATAGCTCCAAGGCTCTGAAAGGCAAGATGTTTCTCAATTTAGGCTGTTTTGGTTTCACAACTTTTTTTATATACCACTTCCATTCAGAACATAGGCAATTATGGCTCTCCACAACTGCCTGTCATTTGTTGCATGAAATAATTTTTTACATGTTACCATTTGTTATTTTGTTCTGCAATCCATTCTGTTATTGAGAGGCAGAGGGAAACAGTATGTTCTGTGAGTGTTAGATTCTTCAGGTCTTTTTTCCATGTGCTACAAATTTCATTTCTCTTTCTGATTGTTTTCTTATTATTGCCCTTGAAACTTTTTTTTTTTTTTTTTTCCTTTCAGTCCATGATAGTCTTGGCCTTTGTTGGTCAAATCACATCTCTGTTACTTCACCTGTGAAGAAATTGTCCATATAAGAGATTATATAGCAATCTCTAACATGCTTTTCTTTGAGATTTTCCTGTCTTAATACTTTTAGTTTCTTGAAGGCATCTTTGACATTCATAGCTTTATCAACCTTGAAAAACTTAAGTTCTTAAAAATGAATAAAGAAAATATATTGCAAGGCTTCAAAATCATTCAGAAATATCCTGTTAATTGTGACAATCATACTTTAAGCCAACTGACATTAACTTATCTTCTGCCACATATCATCATAATTAGTGCCATTTAAATCTTACTCAGTAACCTTCCACCTTGAGTGGCTCTTGGGCTTTGTACAAGGTGAAAATTATTGTAAAAAAAAATTTTTTAATTACTAAAGTGCATTTTATACAAGGCTCAAGAGCCGCTCAAGGTAGATTACTGAATGAGGAGGTTGATATTCTAAGAGGAAGAAATAGGAAGTGAAGACAGAAAGATAACTATTGACCCTAGAAGAATATTGGAGTGGCCTGTGTTTGCGTTTTGCCCCTTGAGCTTGTTAGGATCATTAGCTGCTGTAAACTTTATTTGGAACACTATTTAAAATCTTTATCAGCTATGTGTATTTGTATTCAAATTTGGTTTATGATGTCATGTGACAAGAGAGGTTCTTTCTTTTTTTTTTTTTTTTTCCTTTTCTTTTGTAGAACAAACTAGAAAATTGTAGTTAAAAAATAAAATAAAATGGTGATAAGACAAAATATGGAATCACCTTTAGCACATATTGCTTGGAGATTTGATATTAGTGGGTGTTGGTCTGATCAATATATTTGCCATTACCTCTGGCTTGCTTTTTTCAAAATGACCCCAGTCACTTTTTATATAGATTGTACACCCAAGGAAGGCCATAGAATGCAGCAGCCAAAATGTAATAATGCAAAAAATAAAATGTAATAAATTCTTTGATCATGACTTCTCGGAATTATTTAAGGTCTCTTGGTTAACAGGATGTTTTTTTCCATTCTTTTGTATATAAAAAAAGTACGTTGATATTGTGTAAAGAAAGACATGCTATTTTATTTTTAACCAGTTTTAAGTATGAGTTTATTGGTTAATTTTGTATTTTATATCATTTTTCTTTCAAACCTTGCTGCATATTTACCATTGATTAGTTTGTAATTTGAGAAGTTAGGCAAAATTCAGATTTGGTAATACAGGCTCCCTAAATCTGCAAAAAATAATGACAGTAGTTAATATAGGCTATATTATTTTTTTTTTTATAATTAAAATTTATTCATTTTTTAAAATTTAACTTGTGTATAAAAACAATTTAAAAAAATAAAATGTTTTAAATGCTTTGTTGCATTAAACTAACTAAAACAAAAAATAATTGCCTGTTGATTTATAGAATACTCAAGAATATATAAATTAATTTTTCTCTTTTGGTCCAGTCATTAAAATTATTTGCTATTCTTTCATCTAATTAATGTATTTGATTTCACTTCTTTTTTCCTCTCTCACCTCCTTCTTTCTGTCTCTCTTTCCCCCATCCTCTTTTTTTCTCTTTTCCCCATCCTCTTTTTTTCTCTTTTCCCCTCTTAAATTATACATGTTTATCTTTTAAAAGCTGTGAGTGAAACAAATGTTTAAACAGTTTTATTGAACAAACAACTGGTCCTATTTACAGTTGGTTTTTTTTGGTGGGTGGAGTGTATAATCTATTTGTATATTTATACTCAACCTCTCCAAATAGATATAAACTATTTATATATTTTTGTTTTTTAATTTCCAATTATGATTAGAAGAGTTTTTCTCTCTCTCTCTCTCTCTCTCTCTCTCTCGTATATATACATATATAATTAACGTCTTTCTAATGCAGGTTCTATGATACGTCCAAACAAGCAATTGGTGCAGCGGTTATCCACTTTGCTAATGTCTTCCTGGCTGGAATGTTCCAAGGAGATCCATGTACATGGTAAAGGACAATTACTTCCTGCCTGTTTCTTTTGTGTATCATATTCTTCAATTTTTGGCCTCTCTCTAAATTGTGTGCACATGTTAGAATTAATTTAATAGTAAAAAAAAAATTGTTATATTTTAAATATTTCAACATTTATTTATGTCATCTTCAGAATATAGGAATTATGAGAATATTTTGAGAGTAAATATAAAAGTTAAGGCAAAATTATTGGCTCCCCACTTTAGCACAATGTTGTCCAGTCCTAAGATCACATGCAAGCTATGACTTAAAATGACGTTCTGTTTCTGGTTGTGGCCAGAAGGTTTAAAATGTTATTCCTGATTAATATTAATTAGCCTGCTTTCAGCCATGACAAATGAAAGAAAACAAATGTTTAGCTGGTGGACATTTCTAAAACCTCGTATGTGCAGACACAACTCAAGATCGGCCATAAATTCAAGATATATCTTTTTCTATATAATTAGTTTCCTTATTTAAAAAAAAAAAAAAAAATAGGGATTGTACTTTTTTTTTTTTTTTTTTTTTCTTTTTAGTTGAAAAATGTGCAAATGTAAATATCTAACAATTATCATTCATATAAATGGGTGTTATCTTAACAATGGCACACTGTAAGAGAATATTGTTAAAATGCTCTAATTTGAAGACTAAAACAATTTCCAACCTAATCGGGCCAACTTATCAAAATGTCTGTCAAAGGGAAATAATACTAAGTTTATTAACTGCTACTTTCAGAAGTGTAAGAAGGTAATTATATTTATTGTTAATTAGTACAGGATACAACAGAAATAACTCACGTAATAGTAAGTTTACAGCCATATAATGTTGAAACACTGGTTTCTGTATGATCAATGAATTTAAGCAACATCGAGCCTGTTCAGTACCTAGATGGGTGACTGCTTGGGAATACAAGCTTGGATGTGTGGGTGGTGTAATGGATAACAGCTCAGAATTGGAAAACTGAGAGCCGAGTTTGTTTCACTCAGGTTCGTTATATTCACTTATGTGGGAAAGGTATGAATCCACCTTCTCCCCCAGCTATGGGTTAATTAGTAAAACGTGTATTACTAAACCATTATCAAAAAAAAAAAAAAAAAAAAACTGATCTAAAAATATTTTCTGACTTTAAATAACCTGCAATGGATTGATAAGCTGCAGAAAATGAATCGTCCAATGAATAAAAGGCATAATGGTAACACATTAGCTAGATGAAGGTACCACTGCCACTAATATCTTACTATTAGGTATGAGCTATTTCTGTGGCAACCTGTATTTGCAAATAATTTTCATGAAATGGAATACTGACTTGACATCCAGCTTAAGACAGCATTTAAGTGAATCCTTATAAAAGACCACAACCTCCAAACTGCAGATGGTTGAACATCATTGCTGGATGAAAATTACTTTTGTCATATATGGGGTATCTCCAAAATATATGGCCAATTTTACTGATAACTGTCAAAACAAAAACCAGTTCAAATACAACAATTTAGCCCCCCCCCCCAAGTGATATTGAAATCCTTTATAGCAAAATCCTTCGATGTCTGAGAAATATATAAGGGAGCTATTTCTGCCACACACAGTATTTATTTGATTAAAACAAAGTGCTATCCCAAAAAGCTTGAGGATTTTGAACATCATTTTTAATCTAAATGTGGTACAAATCCTTGCCACTACCATTTATGAGCCAATTTGCTAACAGGTAGGCTGGGAACTATTAGTATAAGGGACCCTCCGCTTTCTCAAACATTTTGGTACTGTATGTATGAATTCTGTAATAAAGTAGGTAGTAATGACTGAACTAGTAACACGAGTAGAATTAAAAAAAAAAAATATATACATTATAAACTCCCTCCCCCAAATGATTTCCCATTCTTAAAAAAAGATGCTGCACAGAATGACCTGTGATGTTTTCAATTCTCTTAATGCATTTGGCCAATTTCAGAATTTAGTGAATGCACAGTGAAAGGGTCTCTCCCACCCCAGTTCTCAGGATGAATACCCCCCCCCAACTTTACACGAAGAAAGTGCCTGAACATGGTTTTGAAAGCAAGACAGAATAAAATGAAAGATGAGGAAATTCTTTGCATAAAGTCATTATTGAAATTCTTTTGTAAATATAGCAAAATATAAAATGGATTTTAATCAAGTGGCTTTTTAGTTAATTTGATGATTTAAGAAAAATAATTTTTATTTATTTTTTTTCTCTCATTTTTCAGGTACTTTGTAAGTTTCCTGCTTGACTCCACAGTTGGTTTGTTAATAATTTACATTGGACTCAAATCAGCACAATACCTTGCTCTCCAAAAGGGGTGGGAGAGTCTACGGTTTGGGGAATATGGTATGTACACCTTTTAAACTTAACGTTTTCTGTTTTTTTTTTTTTTGTTTTTTTGTTTTTTAATTTTTGTGTCTCTTAAAATTCTTGCTTGTCATAAAATTCAACCAATATAAAAAACAGACTCATTAATTTATTGTATACAGTAGAATAGGAATTGATTTTAATAAGGTTCATTTATAAAGCAAAGTTCTTGTATTAAAGAGGATTTTAAGCTTTTCTAATTTTCCCCCACCCACTTTTTTTTTAAAGATTGTTAATCCAGAATGTAAAAATAAAGTTTATTAAATCCCCACCTATGAAAAGTGTATATGTATATATATATATATATATATATATATATATATATATATATATATATATATATATAGGAATAAAATTACTATTTATTCCACAAATTTAAAAAAAAAATTCATTTTCCACACTGGTTTTAAAAAAAACATATATTGCACTGCATCAATATTAGGAAATTATCAAGAACAGCTATTAAACTTTACATTTAAAATCATTGTTGCCTTTTTGGTTTTCAAAATTCTGAGTCCAACATCAATTTACTGCAGTTTCTGAAGTTAGAGATGAAATATTATTCTGAGGATTATTTGAACACCAGTTTCGGATGAAGAGTATGTTGGTTTGAAACGACAAAGATAAGGATACTTGTCTGCTTAATTCACAGAATACACAATCTTTGTTAGAACAGATTTTACAGATTGACAAGAGCAAGTGTTGTGGAAAACTTGCACTTGATTCAAATTCACACACTTTTAAAGTTTTAAGTTGGGGTGGGGGAGAAGAAAAAAAAATGTTAAAAGGGGAAGTCCCCTCCTCTGCTTTTTAGTTTTTTCCTCTTGTTGAAAAATCTGTTTTTTATTTTCATCTACTGAGCTGAATATTTGAAATCTTATTAAAGAAAAATATGCGCTCTCCAGCAGTAAAATCCTTTAGGTCATATGTCATAACAACAACATGGACCCAAATTTCAAAAAAGGGCTTCCAAAACCTTGTTGAATTGATACAAAGAAGAACCAAGGCAGTTCTAAAAGCAAAAAGAAGGTCCAACCCACTACTCAAAGAGTATACCTAATAATGTGTGTGTATATATATATATATATATATATATATACACACACCTAATAAATATATGGTGTGTGTGTGTATATATATATATATATATATATATACACACACACACTGGCAAAAATAAGTTTAAGACCAATTGGTTAAAGTTTTATTCATTTCAGAATCTGTTTCTAATAAAACAATATAAATTAATTTTATTTTGTACGCTTTATGCAGAATTTATTTCTCTTTTGAATGATGTAATAATTTTATATTTTTTTACAACTTGAAAAATTTTAATGCTGGATTAATTTAAATTATCCAAATTTGCTGGCAAAATAAGTTTAAGACTGCATGGGTAATTATGCAAATTATTTGCTAAATATGTGGTCTCATGGCATACCAGCAAAACTTCCTCTTTCTTGATTGAAAAGATACTAATCCAGTAGAATTAATCCTAAAACGGTTAAAAAGTTGAGAGATGGCAATTTGCTGGAACATAGGAAACCCTCAGAAAATAAAGATGAAGACTCCACATAGGCTGAAAATGTTTAAACAGCCATGCATAAGATAATTCACTGGCACTGCCATAGAATAAAGGCAAATATAAATGAACTGCTTCTGTTAATAACAGACTTGTTATCAGCATTTGTTTGCCTTCAGGAAACATTCCTGAAGGCAATGTGACAAAAGTGAATATAAAAGAATATCAGCAATACAACCATACACATGACACAGGGCTTCATGCAGCTGGCTGTACATCTACCCTAGTTAGGAATGATGTACCCCAAAATAAAATAAATTTGGCAATTACTTTACAGGTGACTGCTGTTAAAGTCAACCTACATAGGCCAATAAACATTTGCTCGGTGTGTGTGTGTGTATATATAATCTCCCACCTAATGAATGAGTAAATGAAACTGAAATTCATGAAATTATAAAGCAACTCCTTACACCCTTTATGATACTAGGGGACTTATCTTTCACAGCACCATGTAGGACTGTAAAAACCCAAAGGAAAGGACTCTAGAAACAATTATAAACAATTGATGTATTTATAACAATAAATCTCCAACTTACACAAATCCATTTACTGGCAAATGCTCTGCAATAGATTTATCCCTGTGATCCATCAATCTATATGGATTTCTCTTGGAAGATTCTCATGGACACATGCAGTAGTGATCACTTGCCAATTGTTCTGCAAAATTCAGAACAATGATAAAAAATCTTCTCCACTTTAGGTGAAGTGAACTGAGACAAATTTAAAAACCAATGTTTTGATAAACTAGATGAAGGTAAATGAATCAAGGACTTCGAACTGTTTACAGAAATTCTTATATCTGTAGCCAAGGAATGCATTCCAAAAAGTTCAGTACAAAAAGAAAACAACATTCTTTGGTTCAATGATGAGTGTAAAGAAGCTATCAGCCTCTTCAGAAGAGTTTTTGTGAGATTTCAACAAATGCTCTTCAATCTCTAATTTGTTACAATTTAAGCAACTTTGAGCAAAAGCACAGAAAATAATTAAAGAAAGCAAAAAAGAATGTTGGAAAACTGTCAGCAGACTTAATTCTACTGCAAAAACAAAATCTGTATGAGATATGATAAGGAAAATAGTTGGTAAACATTATTCTAATGCTATGAAACATAAACAACTGTAAAATAACCAGGAAAAAAAAATATCACTGATGAATTAGCCAAAACAAGCTCCAAAAACTCATCTGCCAAGAATGGTAGCCAACAATTTCTGGAGCTCAAACAAAAAGTGGAAAAACAAAAATTAAACTTTAAATCAAATACTGAGAGCTATAACCTACCATTCACTATAGAAGAACTAAATGGATCTTTAAAAAGAACCTACAATACAGTTGCAGGACCAGATGATACCCACTATCAATTTATAAAACAGTTCCCCAACAAATCATACAAATTTAGTAAAAGTTGTAATAACAGCATATGGACAAGTGGCAACTTCCCATACATTTGGAGACAGTCATTCATCATCTCTATTCCAAAACCTGGAAAAGATGACACACACTAAAAGTTACTGGCCGATAACACTAATGAATTGACTTGGTACTTGGAAATTAATAGCTTAATCAGTGACTACTAATGTGCTTTTAGGAAAAAATGGAAGTACCAGGGATCACTTAGTAAGCCCCAAAACCTTTGTAAGGGAAGCCTTCATTAAGAAAGAACATCTCATGGCAGTATTCTTTGACTTAGAAAAGGCATACAATACAACATGGAAATTGCAAATCTTGAAAGATTTGCATGAACTCTAAAAGGAAGACAGATTCAATTAATAGGGAATTTCCTGAGAGACTCTGGAGGTTTCAAGTTTGTATAGGTAATACGTTCTTATAATTTCAAGACCAAGATTAAAACTCTTAACCCAGGAGTGAGAAACTCTCTATATGTCAATGATTTTCTAATTACAGATCTTGACATATGAATGCCACTGAAAGACAACATCAACAATGTCTCAAAATACACAAATGGACCAGTGAGTTTGTTTTCCAAAAACCTCCTGAACCATCTTATAATGAATTTGGTATGGTGGTCAGGGGGACATGTTACAAATAATTCTATTCTGTTAGGCTTGTATTAATCCTTGACTTTAAATGTTTTTACCATTCTGCCAGAATGATTTAGTTTTAGTCAATTTTCTGCATTAACCCTGTTGGAATAAAAGGTGAAAGTCACCAAGTAAAAATTTCTCACCCAATTTGTATTTTTTCAGGTAACCCTCCTCAGTGTAATGCATGGGTGGGTCAGTGTGCCCTTTATATTCTTGTAATGATTGTCGAAAAAATCCTGATGACTTTATTGGTGCAGTTTCATTTCTGGGTGAAGGTATGTTGCAAATCTATTATTGTTACTTTGTCATTAATTTGCCTAATATTTTCAACAAATGAAAGAGAAATTCTAAAAATTGCATTCTCAAAGTGGAAAAATATACGATTTATCTTTTAGGACTGTATTGGACTAAAGTGATATAACTACACATGTACACAAAGGGGGGATGCTGAAATTTGGGGTGGGGTTTATAGTCTCGCCAAGCCAATCTTTGTTTTTATCACCTTTTGTTATTAAGTATTCCACATTGTGATAATAGATCTGCCGAGAAAAGTGAAAAAATGATGTAAGAACCTGAACGCAAATGTACTGTAGATGATATAGTGATTAAAATCCTTTCTGTACATTTTCATTTTATTTAATTAAAGAAATCAATTTACTAAAATGTAGCTTTTTTTTTTTTTTTTTTTTTTTTTTTTTTAGAAAAAGTAATAAATATGATTTTAATTTACTGGTTTCACAAAAGAAAAGGAAAATTAAGAGGAAGTAATAAATTCTCAAACTGATGAATAATCCTGTCTATTTTAACGTGTCATTTATGAGGTAACTTGGATATAAAAATAGACAGGAAAATCTTAGACCAGTTTAACTGCAACCTGATCCCAAAGAGAGATATGGGAAAAACCTAGTTTTTAAACAAGCTTAATTATTATTTATGGATTAATATTCTCATTTTTGTTGTTATCACCTGTCAGTTATTGCACTCTGTGGCCTTCTTTATAGATGAAATGAAAAGTTCAGTTCAGCTGAACTGGAAAAAGTCCAAAAGCTAAAATGGCCAGAAATATGATAATCACAACAAAGATGAGGAAACTGCCTTGACTATAAAAAAAAAAAAAAAGAAAAAAAAAGGTAACTCTTCATGTCAGAAATTCAAGTATAAACTTACTAGAAGGTTTCTGCAAGTCATGTAACTTAAATACAGAAAGTATCTTCATTTATAATTATCTAATTAAAGGGAGTTGTTTTAAAATGAATAATTTTGCCTTTTTCTTTTTCAGGTCCGTAAATTTATTTTAGCTCCCGTCAAAGATGCCAGCCTTGAAATAGTCATTGTAATGTTTATGGTCCCTTTGTTTGTGAATGTAAGTATTCTAAATAGAATCGATTCAATACCAATTCCAACCACAGCTTATGACTAAAGTTAATTTAAATATATTTGCTGTGTTATTTCTTCTGTTATGTAGAACACCAGGAAATTTGCATTGTACTGTTATATTAGACTAAAAGAGGAAAAGTTAAAACATTTACAATTATTATTATTAGGTGTGCTGTTTCAAATAATCTGAGAGTTTGTAATATATATATATATATATATATATATATATATATAAAGTACAGTGTGTGTGTCCATCCAAGCAACTTCTCCTCTCCCACTGGTCTGATTTCAAGGGTTGCCGGATTATGTGAGGTTAAAAGTATATTATACTAGCCATTATCATTGCTTTCATGGTTCAAGAGGAGTAACTCTTATTTCCTTTTGTATCCAAAATTGCAGTGCACATTTTATTATAAACTTGCTTAAAAGCTGCCCTATCAGGCAGCATTTAAGCTAACTCCTGTGGAGGACTGTTAATTTGGCCATTATCACAATAGCTAAGGAGGAGTAGATGTGATAAGCATCAATAAACTACAGAAGAACTCAAAATTGATAGCTGCGTTTAAGTATTGAATTAATGTTTAAGCTTACCTTTTAAAAGTTTAATGATAATTCTTCTGCTGCCACTTAATATAAGATTCTTATTTTCCATACAAACAATTATTTTTATTTCATGGACAATTTATACAATAAAATTAATATAGTGTAAAGATGGGAAAATAGAAATTAGAATTAGTTATACATTCAACATTTGAAGAGTTAGAGAAACATAATAGCTAATTAAGTAAATCCTATATTATGGAATCTATATGAATAAATGTGAAATTGGAGGTCAGTTCTCCCATAAATTCAGAGATTAAATATTTATCATAATTTATATTTAATCCCACCCCCCTAATGAGGTCAGGCTGTGACACAAGGTCGGTTTAATGTGGGAGCCTGAGTGCTATACACCCGGGTTAGGAACTGTTATACCAGAACATTACCTATTCTATTGTAATAGACTCTCCCACACATAAGTAGTAGTAGTGGTCGCCAGTTGGGCTCAGTGGAGTTGAGTCAGTCGATGTCAGACATTGAAGTATCAACCACCACAACTAGATTGTTGCGTCATTAACTCTTATTTCAAGTTCCTAACGTTTTGTACGTCGAACCTTTTTAGGACCGACTTAATGAAGTACAAGCCTCCACAGTGAGAAACTACTTTACAACAGGAACAAAAATTCCCGAGCCCCCGCAACTGTTGGTTGCACTGTCCTCTGTGTGTGCACTGCTTTCTCTCTCTAGTGCAATGAGAGGGCCTGGCCTCGGGCAGCTGTGCCCCAGGGCCAGCACCTCTTAGTATAATTTCCGTCCTTTTGACGGAGTCATCCCTGAATGCCCTCTCCCCAAGGACAGAGATGCAACTGAGAGATAAGTAATGTTTTACAAATCATTTGTCTTAATTCTTGTTCTTTTATTGTTCTCTCTCTCTCTCCTTAGTATATGTGCAGTTATTTCCTAGCACTCAACCCCTTGCATCTGAGTGAAATGCTTAAATATACAAACACACTTTTGGCTTTGGTTAGTTATGTTAACTGGTAATCTCCAAAAAGTACCTTACTATTTTTTTCATCTTTATTACAAAGACAATTATATATGAAAGGAAAACTGTATTTTATGTGGTACACATTTTATGGTTTCTCTAGAAAAGGCAGTATTTCACAAAAGCAACTGAGTTTAATGCTAACTCCATTGAGCCTCTATCCTTCAGTAGGCAGCGACTTTGACTACAAACTAAGGCTAGCAACTTTGACTTCTTTAAAAGAATAAAATAAAGATTCTGGTCTTTCCACCAGAAGATAATTATATACAAAGAAATTTGTAAAGTTGAATCATAATTTCTTTTTAAGCAACAAGTAAAATTTTGAAAAGAAACCAATTTTTTTTTTTTTTTTTTTCTCTTCACCAGGCTTTTATATTTTGGGTGGTGGACAACTTCTTGAAGCGACAGATTCGCCAGACAAAATCCTTGTCCATCACGAGTGATGATGTGTCTGTAAAATATTTTCGCCACAACGACAGACTCAAATATTACAACCACATTGAAAAGACTCAAGACTTTGAAGCTGACATGTTACTGATGGATGATGACGAGATAAATACCAGTTCACCTTCAGCGATGCTAACCCCAAACTCTAACTCTGGTAGCTCAAGGCGTTTGTCAAATTCAAGTATAAATCACCGTGAAAGCAGGGAATGGTTGCTTGATTCCCCAGGATAGATTATGGGGTGAGTGGGGGGATGGGGTAATATCTTGGTGGGGCCCACATTTTGGAGACCAAGGAAAAAAAAATATTTGTAAATCTCATAACTTGAAATTTTTTTTTTTTTTTTTTTTTTTTTTTTTTTTTTTTTTTTTTTGAGAAAATTTAATATTCTTGAGGTCAGGGAAATAAATGAAAAGCATCATTTGAAGGTCTTAGTATGGCATCTTGAGATAAGCAAAGACTTTGTGTACACCCCCCACTTTTTTTTAAACCACAATTTGCAAAATTAAAGAGAGCTTCTCTATTTACACATTTTAATTTATACATCCAAAATATTGACATTCCTAACCTGAAAAGGAAAAAAAAAATCTATAAAGTAATATTTTCAACGTTATTATATAGTATCTGTTAAAGATTATTGAGCTATACTGTATTTATGGTAAAAGTGAAAATGTAATGAGTTTTAAAATAATTTCTTCAATCACTTGAAAAACCTGTCAAGTGGAAATGCCAGTGCCACTTGACAGAGCAGTGGATGATTGTATCACCTCCGGAAAAATTAAGTAGTGTAAAGATGTGCTATAAAAGACTAGGCTAATTATATTATTTAGATGATGCTTTCTTTTAGTTACTAAAGTGTGAGTATTACAAAACTTGTCTATTATTTTCTGTGATTTTAAAAAAAAAAAAAAGTTCCAGGTATGAGATATAAAAAGAAAAAATCCTCCAAATTTTGTGAAGCATTTATTTATCTACACTAAAGGAAAACAAAATGTGATCACCTTTCAAAAGAATTTTTTTTTTTTTTTTCTTTTTTGTCTTTTTCATCTTCATTTGTTTAAAAATCATCCAAGCTAAACCATTCAAGAGAGAATTTTTTTTTTTTTTTTTTTTTTTTTTAAATAACAAATAAAAAAAGAATTTCTAATTATTTCCTCAGATGTCTGTTGTTGTTGTCTTGTTTGTTTAACTATTATTTACTTATTGGCAAGAAACCTCGGCAAGAGATGATCTCTCTGATTGTGCTTACTGAAAGTGCTCAAATTTATCTGGTGTTACAATAGCAGTTGAGGTTGTTTATTACAAACAACTACTGTGAGCTTGGTGATTAGGAATTTCTGTCCTCTCAAATAGAATCTACACATCACCCTAATGTCTGCAGAACTTTAAACCATTCCCTATGATTTACTTGCTGATATCCCCTCCCAACTAACTCTCATGCCTGTGTTACCTTTCCCTCATTTAAACAACCCTTTTTTCAGAAGGGGTATTTATCATGGGGAAATTCTGTTGAGAACTATAAATTTCTTCCTTATCAATCACTAATTAATTTTTTTTTTCCTCCCTCTCTTTTCCACAATGGGACTTTTTAGAATTGCAGACAATTGGGCCCTATGGATAGTTGACAACAGGGAAGCAAACTGTAAAAGGATGAAAGGTATGAACTTCTGCATTGACAAATAACTTGAAGAGAATTGGGCCCCTGCAATTATTACAAGTATCATTTTGCAAATCCCTGCTCTGTCTCGATCCCTCTATAACTCTGAAATATTTCAATATTTTATGCGTCTTAGCCATTCAAGACATTGGTGGTCATGGCTCTCTACATATTCTTGCCCCCTTGTAGACGTTAGCAACGTTTGGCACCGTTAACATCCTTCTCCAGACCCTGTTCTGATGTCCATTTACATAAATTTTGAAGTAGCTTATCTGCTGTTTCCCTTTGTCCTTTAATATGTCCTTTCAGTGTTCTCCATATTTTTGTTGCTTCAAGTCTCGTGTTCATCTGGAAATTGTCCCATATTCACTGCCATTATAAAATGATATTACATGGAAACAAAGAAATGCTGAACTAAGTTTTCCTATCACTTAATACTTTGCTTTGTTTCTGAAAGGCATCTTATGTCTGCAATTTGTAACTGTTTTTCTTCTTGCTAACAACCTATTTTTTCAGTTGATGGTTATTCCTGGCTTTCCTTTATTACCTGCATATCTTATGTTTAACATTGTCTGCCAATAAATTCTGTTAGGATTGCCTTATTGTAAAGGTTAAATAAACTTACAACAATTTCTATTCTTTTGAGGTTTGTTCCCAGTAAAATGTTATGGATTATTCTAATCAATTCTTCCCAAATCATGTTTTCCTAGCAGTTCAAATAGATTTATCAAACATTCAGGCTGGTAAACAAATATATTATTTAATAAATAAATTAGCATCTACTTAATTACAAGTATCCAGTTTAAAGTGAATAAAGTGAATTTTCTTTTTCTTTTTAAAAAAAAGTGGCTATAATAAAAATCCATTACTTTCTTTATAAAAGTGATTGTTTTTAATGAAATTTTCCTGCTTCTTAATATCGTGTTTGGCTTTTGGAAGGCATCTTCTGCTGTTCTAAAAGCTCATTCAGATTTCAGTGTCATATTTTCTGTTGTCTGTTATAACACTTCCTAAATAGTTAGAATCACTTGTCTGTTTAATGTCTCCTTTTATCTGTGATGAAGTTGTACAGCATTCATTGCCCTATCGGAGGATTGATATCATAGCAGTTCAGCATTCATTTGTTTGTTTCTAACTATATTTTCCTTTTTCCTAATAATTCTTTAGCTTTTGAAAGGCCCTTTTGCTATTCCAATGCACCTTTGAATTTCGATGTCACCTTTTCTGTTATGACACTTCCCTGCTAGTTAAATGCCTGTACTTGTAGGATTATGACATCTCCAATTCAGAGTTCGGATCCTGTGCTGATCTACTTGCTGCTGACCATACATTGTCTTTTTACAATTTATGGTTAATTCTTTTCCTTCACTAGCATTTAAAGGAATTTCTGCGGTTCTTTTTCTCTCTCTCTCTGCCATCTTATGTTGTTTGGATTCTATTTTTTATCACCTCATTATACAGGTTGAATAAATCTTGTGAGAAGATGTCCTTCTTTTGTACCCCTTTCTGATTTTGTTTACTGGCACAATTCATTTTCTATCTGTATGAGGACAGTTTCTTAGTAAATGTCCCAGGTTATTTTAATATTGTTCCAAATTGAATTTTCCTAGCAATTCAAATGGGTGTTTGTATCATACCTTAGCAAATGCTTTTTTGCAGTTTATGTAGGAAATACAAAAGAAAAACTAGTCTCTTATGTATGATAACAAAAACATACTACTTTAGAAACTATAGATTAAGAATGCTGGAAAGTTTGTACCCTAATTTTCTTAAAATTTAACCAAATAGAATTTTTTTTTTTTTAGCACCCATATTGTAATAGGATTATTAAGATAACTATTGATAGATCTGTGGATAAGAGGGCAACTTGTGACCAAAATTAATGGATGTTACGATAGAAAAACATTATCTCCATTGTCCTAATTGAACAATTATTACTTTCACTGTTTAGGTAACTGGTTTCTTCTGAAAAGTACTTCAGTCAGTACAATGCCAAAGTGAATTAAAAAAAAAAAAAAAGTGGCTTGTTCAGGATGATTGTAAAAGCATTAAGTGATTGGAAGGAAAGACACTATTTACAAAAGCTTGTATTTACAATTATTGATTCAATTTTAAAAAAAAAAAATTATAGATGATTTAACACTATGGTTATGTTAAACAAGTAATATGCCTCACCAAGCAAGGGCTGAAAGGTTTGATCTGTTTTTTTTTTTGCATCATAGTTCTATTTCTGAAGGGAGGGGGATGTTGAAACAAATCCACAACTCTGTTATTCTTTGCAAGGTTTGGAAATTAACAGAATATTGAAGTCAAAATAATTTTAAATTACAACAGAAATGTTGACTACTAATTTAAAAAAAAAATTTTATTGGAACAATTTTTTTTAATTGGAGAAAACTAAAAAGCAGGAATGCAGTGGTAAACTTAGATGAAAAAAAAAAATTCTTACCTGTTGATATTTGATCCAAATCATTGAGCCTACATATCAAATTTTTAAATCAAATTAAGAGAGAATTGATCCCTTTTTAAAAATATAATGCAAACGGTATTAAAATAGGAACATTATTTTTAATGCATCAGCCAATCAATTTGCTCAGATGATGTAGAAATTACTGCACCCTCCATCTCCTCAGTATTTCAAAGATGAGACAGTTTGAGATTCAAGCTCATTAAAGAAAAAAAAAAATAAACAGTGGATCCTGAATTTATATGAAGGATTGATCAAATTTTATAGTTGAATAATTTTTTTTGACTCCACCCATTTTCATATTATTAATTAATAAAATACAACGTAGGAGGCTTAGCATTTCAAAAGACAACAGACACGGAAGGAATGCTGAGGAGTGGATTGTCCAAAACAGGACTTAAAGAAATGGAGGAATTAGAATGAAACCAAATACAGATAATGTATTTGAAAAAGAACAGAAACTGGATTATTGGATTTAATAATTGTTCAAAATAATAGGAAAATGTTTTAATGTGATTTTTGTCTAATCGAGTACTCACAAGCCATTGAGAGATTGTTTTTTTTTTAAAATAGAAAGTACCTAACAAAAAAAAAAATCAGTAATTGAACTGCCTTGTGGCTAAAATAGTCTGATATTTTTCATGTGTATCAGAAATCAGTGTTCAAGTCCTACTATAAGTCAAATTTCAGAACAACTATAGGATCTTTGATCTATTTCCACACCACTAAGAAAAAGTATGGCAATTAACTCAAAGAACATTGTGTTAATTCTCATATAAATAAGTTTGTTGTTTGGTAAATATATAAGTAGTTGGCACCATTACAGTCCATCCCAAGTTATTATGCAAATCACTTAAATTTCAATAAATTGAATTTGTTTTGAAAAATATGTTAAATTTTAAATGCTTAAGATATCAAAACAAAACTCGAGTTAAATTTTTTAGTTATTTTCAACATATTTTCTTAGCTATTGAATTTATTATAAATCTACAGCCTGGAGTTATGCAGAATTAACTAATATTAGCTTAGGGCCTCTGAATTCTATTTTACTTATTTTTCTTTTTCACCCTAATATATGTTGAAGCATGGGTAATGGAAAGAACTTAAGA